TGCCCTGTCCAGTTGCACAGCCCTGAGGTTATGTCCAGTCCACTAATGCAACTGCCTGAGCACGGCTTGCCTGGCAGTGGAAGCACCCCGGCTCCCACCGCCCTCCCCACTCTCCGTGTCCCCCTAGCCTACCTCGTCTTTCCATTCCAGGCGAGACCGGAGTCTAAGGACCCAGCTCCGTGCAGGCCCCGAGCCCAGGGCGTGTGCTGGGTACACAGGGAAGATAACTGGGCTGTGGCAACAGGGGAGTTCCTGATTCTGTGGGGCCAGGCTCTGGCGACAGCGGCTTGCCTAGGCAAAATGGATAGGGGTCTGGGCCGAGACAAAAGCCACAGCGAGGTTACAGGTCCCAGGAAGCCACGATTGCTTCAGCCAGACCCTAACGAGAGGGGCTGTTCTTGGCCCCCAGTTTCCGAGTTCAGAGGTTACTGGGGCCAAGAAGTAGGTGTCTCCACACTGAGTTGGGAAATGCCCCTGCCACTGCTGGGGCAATCAACGGGCGGCCCTCTTGCCTCAGGCCAGGCTGGGGCAGGAGCCAGGGCTCCCCAGGGCAGCCTGAAAAGAGAAGCAGGCCCAGAGACCTGAGAAGGCCCCAGCATCCTGAGTGCCAGAGCAGGGGGGCAGGGATGCAGCTCCAGCTGCTTCAGGATCACAAAACCCCGGAGGGGTCAGACAAGTCACAGCAGGTGGCAAGCCCTTGGCCTCCAACCGCTGTACACTACACGGGCCTCTCCTTTAATGATGGGGTGCAGGCGGCTGGGCGGTGAGCACAGCAGTAGATGGAACGGTTCCCACTTCAGAGACCTTGAGTACCCGGGATTGCATGTGCCCAAGAGGAGACTGGAGTTGGAAGATGGCAGAACCATGACTGTAGGGAGTACCAGTTCTCTGTCTTGTCCACGGAGAAATAAACTTTAGTTTTAAAAATGGGGAAAATGGAGGCCCTGGGATGCGAAAGGCCTTTTTGATGTGGGCACAGTCACTGGGAACAGCACCAGGGTGCAAGTCCTCACCTCTGTGCTCACCAGCCAGGTGTGGCCAGTTGTCAGGCCCCCATCCCCGGGGTACCCTCTCCAAAGCTGTGGGTCAGAGGTCTGGGGGACTTTAAAGTACAGACCACCCTTCCCTTTGAATCGGGCCCCACTGATGGAGATAGCAGGTTCAGATGACACCAGTGCCATTTGGCTAAAGCTGCAGTCTGGCCTTGGAAACAGGGAGCCAAGCAAGCCTTTACCACGAGTCTGTATGCAGCCACTCAGACAGAGCTGTAGCTGCTCCTGCTTCTTCCTTCCTCCCTGTCTTTTTTTCTTTTCCTTTCTTTTTTATTTTTATTTTTTTGCTATAGGACATATTTACTTGTCAGAGACAGAGAAAAAGCTCCCCTATGGAGCATAACCATGATGCAATCCCTTCTCCTCCACCTCCCTCTCGGGATTTGATGCATGTATGCACATGCACCCAGGGTGATTTTCAAGCTGCTGGGTCCAGGACTCAAACCACAGTTGGCAATGTAAGATCCAGCTGCCTTAACCACCACACTACCAGCTGGCCCCAGGGTTCCAGTTTCTTAAAGCCTAAAGGAGCTGACCCTTGCCACACTCTCTCCACATGTGGAAGGAGATGACTCCAAACAAGCCCTGGCCACCGTGGGTGTTGCTTCAACAAAAGCCTTCTTTCCCTCCACCTCCAGGCCCCGCTCCATCACACATGGGCCAGTGCCTCATTCCCTGGACCTGGTGACGGCGCCAGAATGGCAAAGCTGTCAAGAATCAGGACTTCACCCAGTCCTGACAACAGCCTGAGTTCTCACTGTCAGAACGGCTGAGTCCAAGGGCCAGCAGACCACAGTTCAAGTCCCGGATGTGGTGGCTTGCTTTCTCACTTTCTATCTCTTTTTCTCTCTCACTCTGATCCTCTCCGGTCAAATTAAAATAGTAAATAAATAAGATAATAAAAATAAATTCTTTAAAAAAAAAAAAACAAGGCTGAGTCCATCATACCAGGTGACCAGCAAAAGACTGGACCAAAGTCCTGTTTCACCGCAGGGCTGTAAGCTCCCCAGGGAGGGGACATTCGGACAGAATGTTCACTGGGCCATAGCTGCAGCCCAGATTGGAGCAGGGCCTCAGGATCGGGCCTTCACCCGATGGAACTCGCCCCTGCAGGGAGGGAATAGGGGGCCTCGAAATGAGACACTGCCCAGCCCTGCTTGATTACGCTTTGTGCATACACACACACTCTTGGCACACACCTTTCGAAATCTCTGTGACAGGGGCTGTGGAGCAATGCTACTTCCTTCTGAATTTTCTCTAAGTATTTCTTTCCTGCATGTTTCACTTAAGTGCTCATGCACATGCGTATACACCTACACGCAAACATCATTGTACTTTACAACCCCCTCTTTTTTCTTTTTCTCTTTGCAAATGGATACTTTTAGTTCAAGGAGTTTCTCCCTAAGGTGTTACGGTGTAAATGTAACTCGTGACATTGTAAATCTGGGGGTAACCGCCAGTTGCCACATTCAGTATTTTTTTTCCAGGTAGGAATCACTCTCCTCTGGGAGGCTCCCACAGTTCCACGGTTATAAATGTTATTTCATTTTTCTCCATGTGCCTTTTTTACTTTTTCTTTCTTTCTCTTTTTTTTTTTTTTTTTGCCACAGGGCACTTGCTCTGACAGAGACACAGAGGGAAAGTGAGGAATCACCCCACAGTGGAAATGGCCACACCCCACCCCTTCTCCATTCTCTCTTTTTTTTTTTTTTTTCTTTAAAAGACAGACAGAAAAAAAGACACCCCCCCCCAGGGGGGATGGCCACACCGCAGTCCCTTCTCCTCCATTCTCCTCTTGGGATCTTGGGCAAGCACGCACATGCGCCCAGCGTGAATTTAAGCTACTGGGTCTGGGACTCGAACCACGTTTGACTATATGAGAGTCCAGCAACATAGCACACACACACGCACCAGTGTGATTTTCAAGCTTCTGGGTATGAGACTTGAACTCAACCATGGTCAACCATGTGGGAATCCAGGGCCCTAACCACCAAGTCACCTGCTGGACTCTCCATCTGCCTTTCAAACCGATTCATTTCCACTGTGGCTGCACTTGACCTTCCCCCTTTCTCTCTGTCCTCCAGTCTGGTGCTGTCACCAGCCCAAGAAGTCTTCCTGAACATGGAAGCCCTGTAGCAGGCAGTATGGAACAGCCACCAAGTACCAGCTTGGGCAAGTCACTTAACACGCAGCCTCCATGTCCTCATCTATCGAATGTGAGCAGAAAACAATCTATCCACACAATCTGTCTCCCGGGGTTGTTCTCCGAATGCAATATACGGGTGCTAGGTCCCACCAGGGATACTTCCTTAGCTGCTCGGTGACCCTGCAAACGTCTGCCTTCTTACCCAGCCCCGAAGGATGCTCACCTACTTAGGTGGGTCACTGTGATATTGCTCCAGCTAGACCTCAGAACCCCTGGAGGTGACCCAGGAGTACCAAGATACAAGCTATGCACACCTACTGCGTGCTGAGCTGAGGGTGGGATGTGTCACACAGCAGGAAGGGCTCATACAAACCAGGAGAGCTAACAGGCCCAAACTGTGCCCTGGAGTAAGGTTCACAAGATACTGTGGAGAGGTTCAATCCCTCCCGGAAATGGTGTCATAAAAGCGCCAAGGGGGGGGGAGGCACCAAGGGAAGGTATGCACCCATCCCAAAGGGCAAAACAGAGTTACTTCTTAATAACAATCAAATGGGTCCCACAACACAGGCTTGGCTGAGGAAGGCTGCAGAAATCGGCCCCCATTTAACCCTCACCATCGGTTCTTGAGCCCAGCACATTATGGTCTCTGTGGCCTCACACCAGGCCCAACAGAGCCCTGGAACGCATGAAGTCACCCATTGGGGCAGGCAGGCTGCTCACTGACTCCACTTTGAGGAGTGGAAAAGGAGCTGTGAAGTACCTGGCTGTTCCCTCCCATCACCCCTCCACTGGAGGCCTCCAGCTGTGTGATGGCCCAAGTTATGTCTCATCACTGTCCCTGCAACAGGCCACCTTCAGAGACAGAGGGCTGGCAGGGAAAGGCCTTGGGGGATGGGCACCCCAGGGCAGCCTCGCGAAAGTGCGCCCAAGGGCTGGCCTTGCCCCAGGACTTCACTGGCCCCACTAGGGCCCCAGCTCCTCTTCCACTCACTGAGCTTTCGGTGTCTCCTTCCCCTCCATTCACTCCCCTCTCCCCAGTCTCACCCCGCCTCCTCTTTACCCTGGTGCCTGGGTTCTGCATCCCCGTGCCACCTGCCACCCACACTTGCCTCCCTGCCGGCTTGGCGGCTTGGTGTCCCAGTAAACCCCTGCTCCAAAACTCAGATCCCAGCCCTTCGGCAGGAAGGTAAGGTGGAGAGGATGAGGGGTAGGGCGGGGCATAGTTAGAGTTGGAGAACAGCCTGGGTGGGAGGGACCCTAGGGTCTCCCTGCAAGATGGGGTGAGTGCGTGCAAACAGGCGCTCACGAGTCGGGTGGCTTGGGTTCAAGTACTAGCTCTCACAGGGTATCACCTTGGGAGGGATAAACTAAGAGCCTCAGTTTCCCCATCTGTAGGGCGGAAGGTTGGCAGCGGGACCCAAACTAGGTGGTGGTGGTGGCGGTGGTGGTGGCGGTGGGGGAGGGCCGCGTGTGCAGAGCGCACGGCCCTTGCCTGGTTCTCCGGAAGAACGATAGCGGTGACCTCCGCAGCACGCCTGCAGAGAGGGGTGCTGAGACTTGTGAGCTCGGTCCCCAACACCACAGCGCAGCGGCGGCGCCAGGTCCAGCAGGGCAGAGCCGGCCTGAGACGCCCGGAGACCGAGGCCCAAGCTGCCGAGCCCTGGCAGCCGGCGCGAGCGCGCAGCGCCGCCGCCTGGCCGCGCCCCCGGCCGCTCCCTCGTGTCGGCATCGTGCAGCACGACACGGAAACGGCCCGAGCCCAGCGCTGCGCGGCGCCCTCCCCGGGCCCGGCCCGCACTCACCCCGAGCCCGCCGCCGTGGTGGCCTGGATGGAGCTGATGCGCAGGCGGTTGGCCGTGTCCTTCAGGGCCTGCAGCTTCTGGGGCGAGGGAGTGTGGGGCGGGGCGCCAGATCACCCGAGGCCGGGCGGCCATCGGCCCCGCCCCGCCCCGCCCCGGCCCCGGGCGGCCCAGAGCCGGAGTCAGCTCGCGGCTTACCCTCACGTCCACTGAAGTCCCGAGGCAGCCAGGCCTGCGGGCCCTGGGGTGTCAGGCTGCCACACTCACTAACCATAATAACAAATAAATAAATAAATAAAAGTAACTTCAGGTTCTAAGCTTGGTTCAGAGATTGGCTGCTAACCATCAGATCCCTCGCTCTCTTTCCTCTGCACAGCCATGAGTGCATGGTAGGAGAGGCTTTGCTGGTAATCTCATTTTACAGACGAGCAAATCAATACTTGAGTAAGGTCAATCACGCTCACAGGGCTGCTAGATGCCAGGCTTTGCCCTAACAAACCAGCCCCAGCCCAGGAGCCCAGGGCTTTAGGGGCCTGTAGAGGGATGGGATCATAAAAATAGGAATAAAATAGTGGAGAAATGATTATTCCAGCTAATGTTTTTGTTTGTTTTGTTTTGAGAGGTTTTTGCCTTAGGGCATGTGCAGAGACCCTGTGAGGGAAAGTGAGAACTCACCCCCTCAGGGAAGATGGTCATGCAGCAATCCTTTCTCCTCCATTCTCCTCCCAGCATGATTTTCAAGCCACCAGGTCTGAGACTTGAACTTCAGTTGTCCATGTGAGAGTCCAGTGACATAACCACTATGCCATCTGCTGGCACCTATCACAGTTGATGAGAAAAACTGAGAAATTAGTAGGGGCAAGCTCTTCACAAACTATCAGGGCCTAGAAACACGCTCTTAGATTATTGGATTTGCAGGTCCAGCAGGTGGTGTGGTGGTTAAAGGAGCTGGATTTCCACATGGCCAACTGCGGTTCGAGTCCTGGACCTAGCGATTTGCTTTCTCACTTTCCCCTTCTCTCTCTCTGTCTCTGTCTGGTCAAGTTTAAAAATAACAATAATAGGGAGCAGCAGTTAGCGAAACGGCTATGTCACTGGACTCCCATGTAGTCGACCATGGTTCGATTCCTGGAACCGGTGGCTTAAACTCACGCCGGGCCCGTGTGCATGCGTGCCCAAGATCCCGAGAAGAGAATGGAGGAGAAGGGATTGCGGCGTGGCCACCCCCCTTGGGGAGGGATTTCTTGCTTTCTGGCTCTCTGTCTCTTTCTTTCG